ATATACTGATTTAAAAAAGTATAATTATTTGGATGATTGAAAATAAGGATGATTGAAATATATTTCTGAGGTGACAAAAATTCAAGAAAAAGATGATTTCTTACAAAAATTAATCTTTATTATAGGAAAATTGGCGGAAATAATTACAAAATGTCATGACAAAATAAAGTGAAATTGCTTCGTCGTTTAAGCCTAGTATAACTCAGAACAAAAAGATCTCAGTTGGAACAAGAAAGGAAGCATGTGTTTTCTCTTGACGTTGGGTACTGTCAAATCGATTTTTTTACGAATTTTCGGAGAACGAATGATCTTATGAGTCTCATACTCTAGAACTATAATTCTTAAGCCTAGAACAACTGAAGTACTTTCAAAAAGTGGCCAACTTCATACACTCTAGGAAGGTCGTAGTTTCCGTGAAATCCCGAGTTAATATTTTGGCCCGAATTAAAGCTCGAATTCTACAACGCAGTAAGAGTTAAGTTAGTAAAGTAGGTTTAATTCTAATGATACAATTTATTCCTGCTTTGACTCTGATAATGTCTGATGATGTTTTCATTTTCTTTAGAAAAATAGATGCTGAATGGAATAGTGAGATTGAAAGTAGGATCAAAATTTCGATTCGCTTACTTTCTTTTTCCGTGCAAGACAATTCCTCCCGATTGCACGACAATTCCCGTTTGCCGTCGCGGATTGAAAGAAAGTGAACGAGCGGTAGTACGGAGTGGGGGGGGGGGACACTAATAGGAAAAGGATGAAGAAGGAACGGAAGAGAGGACGCGGGGGAGGAAAGAGGTATAAGGATGAACAAGGTGGAAAGGGCGTTTCTCTTTTATTCCGCCTGGCTTTTATCCGCTTTAAAGCTCCGCCGGTGTGATACCCAATCCCGAAACGTCTAATTATTGCTGGTTAAGTGCCGGTAATTGAAGGGGGCGAACAGATCCGTGAAATTGAAGAAATCTCTCCGCCTCGGCCGCCCGTAGGAGATCGGTTACCGATCGGAGTGCCCCGGCTACGGTAACCCGAGGAGCGCCTCGTTGTTAAATACGAGTCGCCGAGGATCTCCTCCTCGAACGGGCTCGCCTTCGCGCTTTTCTCCTCTTGTTTGCGCGCGCGCCCGGAGAAATTGAAATGTCAGATTAATACCACGGTGGCAACGTCGCTCGGTCAGAACACGGACGCGATATCGTCCCGTACAAATCGCCGTCGAATCTTGCGTCGAGGCGTTCACGGTGGCGGATTTCCAATTGTAGCACAAGTCATGATTAGCTGCGCTAATCTTGTCTTTTGCCGTGCATAGGGAAAATTTCGCGCGGTCGCATTACGAGCGACACTCCGTCTCCGACTAGTCAGATTTGACGTGACACCTTCGGCTCGTGTTTCCTCGCACAACAGGTGCGCCATACGTCATCCCTGGCGCGCGCTATTCGCGCCACGGGCCTCGCCGTGAATACATCATCGGACGAGGTCGAGCCTCGCCGACGAATCACGGCTTTCCCGAGCTTGGAAAATTTCCCAGATGCCAATTTCCGAAGCATTATTTTCTCCAGTTCTACTCGAGTCGAAATTTTAATCTTACTTTCAGACTCACTATTCCATTCAACATCTATTTTGACGCTAAAAAAAGTGAAAAGGGAAATTTTGGACATCATCAGAGTCAAAGCAGGAGTGAATTGTATCATTATAATTAAACCTATTTTGCTAACTTAGCTCGTACTGCGTTGTAGAATTCAAGATTTAACATAGGGCCAAAATTTTAACTCGGGCTATTTTGATGTTCCGTATCCTATATACTGAGAGAAATTATCTAACAAAAAATTAAAAAACGAATATTTCCGAGTAAATTCCGATCAATTTTTATATCCCATCAGGATATACAATTAAGTTTTATCATTATTACAATTTTATTTTATTTTATTTTATGGAGGGACACAAGAGGTTCAAGTCGACGACTATTAATACGGGCCTTTCTTCTCTTGAGAGAAATATTGCCAAACGACCGAGAATCGTGCAGTTGATTCGATAATACCCGCGAACGCGCGCTCCTTCCGCCTGTTAATCTCGAAGATGACGACATCGCGCGCGCGGTTCGCGTGCTTCCACATTCGGGAAGTGTCTCACCGATTTATCTTGATCCACTCGTTCCGAGCGGCGTGCGTTCGCTCTGCAATCGTCACTTCCTTTCTTCCGACCGCAAACACCGAGCGGAACCGTCGTAAAATCCCGGCGAAGGACCGCACCGGCAGTCGGCGATACATATTTGATCGAACGACCGCAGCTTCGCTCACGAGAGGGTGGAAGAGGAGGGGGTGGGCTTTTGATGAAGTGCCAGTGGCACACGGGAACGTACACACGGGGGGCAATACTAGACGTCTCGGCGGTGGCGAGCCGATATTTATTGCGCCCGCGGGACCTCACGCCCGTACTCTGATATAACTAAATTCGCGTTTATGGCCCCCTCCTCGCCCCGGTCTCCCGACGCGACGGTAGTTTCTATCTTTCTTAAGGAGGAAACACACCTAGAGAGCGCGTTAAATCACTCGCGGGGGCTATTAAATCCGGGATATCGCAAGGAGGATCCGAGGGATCGTCGAGATCGATTCTCCTGTGTGTTGACGGCGTCGTTGCAGTGAGTAGATACAGACAGATCGCGTCGAACGGACATAGGAGTTCTACGAGCGCATCTCTCTAGGTGGTAAGAGGAGAGACATTCTCGATGAGGGAAGCTATTTTCCAAGCGATTGTCTCTAATAATTTCGAATGTATCTTTTCAAGTGATTTCGCGAATTATTCTGAATTATTCGGAAAGATTGTGTCGTCGCGCCGACCGCGACATTTCGTCGGCAGAATAATTCGCAAGTGAAGCAATAGGAACGCGGTATTCGCGTTAGGGAGAGCGAAATTTTTCAAACTAAACACCCGCCGCAGGACGTGTCCCTCTCGAGCTGCACTCACGCGTATTCGTTACGTTTTATAATACCTCGCGACGCAAGGGTGGCTTTATGACGAATAAAAAGCCTTCATGGGGAAGATGAAATTGCGATGTGTGGAGTGAAAAGTTATACAACGGCCCCGTGCGTGCGAGAATGCGCGCTCCGCAATTTTTATGCCGGGCGGTTTACACCTGTACTCCTCTCACCATAAACGCCTCCTGTGCTATGCCATCGGCGCGGCGCGGATAGAAGAGCGATGATAATGCCGTTTCGCGGCATCTATCGCGAAATAATCGGATGTGAGCCCGCGAAGAAGAAAGGGGAAAGAGAACTACTCAGGAAAATTACAAAGAGAGCGACGCGACACTTGACGATATTGGAACGTATTGTCTAGAACGCGTCGAGTATTCCGCGAACTTTAATGCACGACAGGTGATCGGCTGGCGAAAATGTGGGTGGTGTACGGTCGTTCATGTTATTCGTGTGTAATAACGATGAGAGATCGTACTGACCTTGGTCTTGGACGCGTGGAAGTCACCGGCGATGTTCCTGAGATTGGCACCCACGCTCGCCCACTGCCTCTCGTTGAGAGTCTGGTGGCCAAGGTGGCAGCAGCAGGTGCTGCCGTTGCTGCAGATCACCTCGATCGGGCCCTTGTCCAGGACCGAGCTCTCCGAGGCGAGCCGTCTTCGTGGTCGTGGCCTTGGGCTCGGCAACGGTGCGTCACTCTCAGGAAACTGGAAGGTCGCGTCTCTCATCGGGCTGTTGGGGACGGAAACGGTCACCTGGGGCGACGGCGGTGGCAACTGGTCCACTGCCGACTGCACCAGGTCGGGCAGCGGCAGGTTCGACAGATCCTCCGTGCCGGGCTGCACCAGGATCACCAGGTGCTGCCGGGAAGCGTAGTCGCCGGAACGACGAGGTGCCCGATCTACGAATCAAAACGTAGACTTCTCGTCAAGACTCGTTTCGCGGCGCGAGATATTTCTACACGGAAAAGGAGAACAAAATTTGGTTGGATTGACCAAATATCCGATGCCAAATGTGAAGCCATCAAAATTCTGGCAACTTCAAACGGAATTCTGACTCCTTCGTATTTCACCAGATATTTGGTTGGACCAACCAAATTTTTCTTCCGTGTATGCGACAGTATTTAGCTGCTAACTGTTTGTTGCGAACACAAAGTTCTTTTCAATAACAATTGTAGTTTTATGACTATCTTCCCGAGAGGAAACCATTGAATTAGATTTGGAAATTAAGATTTAAAGATTAAGAAAAAAATATGACTTAAATAACATACATAATAATATTAAAAAAAATAATAAGAAAATAGATTTGAGTTGAAAATAGATCTAATATGACTTGAAAATTTATAAGTCTTTCCATATGTATACTGTTGAGGTCTATAATGAGAATACGAGTATAGCTTATGAATATTAAATTATGATACAGCGTACATTCTTATGCTACAAGCAGGAAATATTCTACTTTCTGCAATGCATTTGCATTTTCCCGATTTGTCCGATATTTAAATTGCACTTTTAATCGTACGCGTTTATTTCTAGCCGAAGGTCTAAGTCGATAGGTCTCAATTGAAAAATAGAGTTAGAAAATTTAGATTAAAAATGCAAGACGCAAAAGTTTGAAGAATTAGATTTAGCGAACGGCTGTAACGCGACGAGGAATGGACGTAGGAGCGTGAGACAAACACCAATCTTCTCGGTTCTTTCGCGCCCTACACGATCATACTTCTCATATTATATTTTATCATGACACACGTGCATAATTACGACATATGACATACTATTGCACAAAGACCCTGGAATACATTCGGACGCGAGGAAAGAGAATGTCGAAAGCTTTTGCAGTAAAAAGTACCGAGTCTCGTGCGTGCTTTATTTGAAATATTTGAACAACGCTTGACAATATCGTTAATGACGCGTTACGAGCCAAAACAGTCCGTATATCGACATCGCTGAGCGAGAACGACATCGCTGAGTAACGTTCGCTTTGAAATCGACGAGAATTCTTTACGACAAGTCTTCTACCGCGAGGAAACGCGCAAGCTTCAGTAGCTCAGAAGCTTCGACATTCGAAGTCACGTGGTCGAGCATTTTCTCCGTCGCATCGTGGATGCGAGACACGAGGAGTTGCATCTCCCAGTCGCATCGATGTCTATAAGTTTTTCGACGTGAGCGTTACGTCTGTTATGTAGCGAGTTGCGCGTTTCCTCGCCGACCACGCTATAATACGCAACAGTCGACAATCGTAATGACAGACAGACAGACAGACGGACAGAGAAAGAGAGAGGAGGCGTCACACAGGCGGGATCAAGAAAATAAGCGAGCTCGACAAACATACGTCAGTATCTCTGCTTGGAAAACGTACGTTATCACACGCTTGCGGCAGACTGCCTGTCTCGCGACTGGACGTATACACGCGCTATTATTTTTATCTTCCATGGTCGCGATTTCGAAGAACAGTCCTTATCGATAAAGACGCATCGTCGTCGTCGTCGTCGTCGTCGTCGTCGTCTCCTCCGCTACCGAGACACACTCTACACGCGTTTCTCGTTCCGCTCTCCGCACGTTTGCCGCACGTTCGTTGCTCATCCGCTGCTGTTGGCGAGATACGCTTTGCTCGTCGCGTTATCATTTCACGCAGTAGTTCTGTCGAGAGTGAGAGAGAGAAAAAGAACGATTGCGTCGCTTTTTGCCGTTGGGACGTAAAGGAGACCTCGAGTGTGTTTACACAGCATTAGAGACAATTACAATTAAATATCTCTCGAGCCTATAATCGGCACCAGATAAGACTACAATACGCCGGTAGTTGCCGATCGCGTTTCTTCTCTTACACAGATAACGAGGGAGCAATCATTCTCCACAGATAACAGCGGAGAGTGAAAGAGAGGAAGATAGGGACACTTGTCGCGCGTTACAAAGCAAGATCGCGATACACACCGCGCCGCGGCGGCTCCCGGCTGCAACCTTGAAAGCGCATCCTCGCGCGACTCCGAGTGAAAGCATCCCCGCGGAAAGGCGCCTGCCGTGCCGTAGGGTTCCAGAAACATTTAGACACGGCCACTTTTCATCTCGCGCGCGCGCGCAATGCATGCGCACGTACACGTAAACGTGGCTACGGAGAGAGAAGAGCCATGCGTGACAAAATAACAATTCCAGCGTAGCTCGCGGCCGTCATTGTCTCTCTCTCTCTCTCTCTCTCTCTCTCTCTCTCTCTCTCTCTCTCTCTCGGCCGTCTCCTTCTTTCTTCATCCGCCTCTCTTCTGTCTCTCTCTATCGTTTCCCTGCGCGAGCGCGCTCGCGCCGCTCTTTCTCGCGCGCACGTGGTTGCATCCTTGACATTTCGAGTAAACGTCGGCAGTGGCTCTCGGAGCTCTCTTTCACTTGTGCAACGCGCTCTCGCGCGCTCTCGTGTGCATGTGCATCGGCCACACATCGTCGCGCCGGCTGCGTTCGATTATTAAGCACGCCGCCGCCGTCGTTGCCGTTCGCCGACGCGAAATCTCCCGATGGTCGCGCGTTGAGGAGACGCGCGCGCGTGCTTTACACCACTTGCAAAATATACGCGAACGGCGCGCTCGCAGAAACGACGCCCCGTTGCTTTCTACTTGCTTTTCCAGCGAAATGTCACTCGCCGGCGACGAACGGCGTGAGAACGCTTACGCGCGCGCGCAGAACCTTTGGAGAGATTTATAATAATCGGACTCGATATTTATTATTCCGGACTCGCGCGCCGAGGGATTTACGTCTTCGCGCGCTTGAGCTCTTCTCTTCGGGTAAGATTAGCTCCTCTACGTCTCGGACAACGCGCCGGTCTCTGCTAATCGACTTTGTCGGCGAACGCCAGGAACTATAAATCCAGCGTACAGGTGTGCCACCATGCAACATGGAAATTGCAAGAAAGATCTGTCTAGGGGAGTCTATCTAGACGGATAAGTGGACTCGCGTCTCGGAATTTCGTGGCGTATCAAAGAGGTTCTCTCTTGGGAACGGTGGTCTCGCATGTTTGTCGCACGTCGTGCGCGTTTCTGGTCGGCAGAACGTTCGTTCGTTATCAAAGACGACTACGACAACGATGTGGCGTTTCCGTTTGACGAAAAACGCGGCGCGACTGTCCCGCTCGCCACAGCTCTCGTCTCTCACCTTTGTTCAGCGGCGTGTACCGAAAGCTCGTCGTGGCAAATCGCTGAAAAGGGCATAAAGTTCCGACGGCTCGCGCGCGACGTATAAAAGGCCGAAGGCTTTTGCTTCCCGAGCAAAAAGTGCAGCGCGCACGTGGCCAACACCCGCATGCACTCTTCGTGGTCTCTCGTGTGCGCACTTGGTCGTGTATACGTACACATATGTATATTTGGACCGAGCTATGTGCACTCAAACGGAGAAGAAGGATAGAGACGTTGACCGACAAAGAGAAAAACACAGAGAGCAGAAAGAAACTCGGCACATATGTGTGTGTGTGTATATATATATACATTTGCACGTATATATACACACATATAAAATGTAGGCGCGAGAGAAAGAGAGAGGAAGATAAATGGTGTAGCACGGAAAGCAAAGAGGACGGGAGAAACCGATGAGGAGAGGAGAGACGAGTCGGAGCGCGTACGAGAGAAAGAGACAGAGACTGCCGGTAGCATATGCGAGCATGTGAGTCACATGGAGCGCCCTTTGTACATAAGTGCAACGCAACTTGTTACAGTATATGTAACGGCGTGAGCCAGTTTCCACTGTGTGGGTGTACTCGCACGCGCGCGCAGCCATGTGTGTGTGAGCGAGAGTACGCGCGATCTGCAGTGAACGCTAAACTGCACAAAGAACCTCTCTCAAGGCCGCCGGAGCTGCAGCGCGCGACGCGGCACACGCACGCACGCACGTACGCGAATGCGTAAATGCACCTCGAGCGCGGCTCCTCTCCGCGTGCTCGTTCGTTCGTTCTCGCGCTTTTTATCGCGCCATACTTTTGCCATTTTTCCGGAACAATGGGACGACGGATACGAATTGACCTGCAGCTACGCCACGTAGTGACGTGTGTGAGCGGACTTTGCGGATTGGCCGTGATTTTCCGCGTTTGGGGAACGCGTGAGCGCGCTCCAACGCTTAGCTAATCGCTCTTTTCGCCAAACGCGACGCTTCTGCCATTCAAGGAATTCCGTCGAGTCTCCTTGTGCAAGTCTCTCGGCACGGACGAGTCTCTCTGAGAGTTCTCTCCGATTCTTGCTTTAGTCGTTTCGAATTCGCATTGGACGCGGACATTTTCTCGAGGTCCAGCAATAGCCGAAAAATGAATCGAGATCGAAAAAAGGGTTCGTCATATGTCATTTCCTGAAGCAATGCAAGTGGTTGTTTGACATAAAAGATGTTTTCCGTCTAATCTGTCCTGACAAGAGCGATATCTGCGACATGTCGCAGACGTCTGAAATTTCGAGGAAATATCTCAGATAAGAAGTGTCTCGAGGAGAATAGAACCATTAATGCGCACTCGCCACGTGATCAGTGGTTCTCTCTCGCGACACGTCGCGGTAGTGTAGTATGTACGCGTGGAACAAAAGCCGCGCATTCATTCCGGTGATTTGCACATGTATGCGTGCGTGCACATTCAAGTCGCGCGCGATGCGACCAAGCCGAGTATACAATGTACGTTGGAGGGTTTCGAGGGATGCACCAAAGCGCGCGTCTTCCTCCTCTCGAGGAGGAAAGGTCGCGCGTAACTATGTATCGAGAATCGATCACGGCGGCGGACAAAAAGGTCGAGCCCGTAGGACTCGCGGCGCACGTCGTGTACGCTTTACAGTTGATTAATAGGGAGCGTCATTATGTGTCGGTGATTTCAGTCGCTTTATCCTACCGAGCGTTACGTTAAAATAGAAAGAAAGACTGCAGAGAAAGAAAGAAAAAGAGAGAGAGAAGATAA